GGAGAGGAAGAAGAGGAGGAGGAGGGGAAGAAGAAAAAGAAGAAAAAGAAGAGAAGGAGGAGAGGAAGAAGAAGAAGAGAGGAGAAGAAGGAGAAGCAAAAGAAGGATTTACATTTTTAACTGGTTGGATGGACCTGTAATAGCAGAGGATATGGTTGCTATCATCCTTTCTATCTCTGAAAGCTGCTCCTGGGATGTTGCTGAGCAGCAGGGAAGAAATCAATAGGAAGATAACTTAATTTTGACCTGCCGCCTTTGGACAGCAGCTTTTTCGGGTTTACCTGGGCTGAAGCTAATAGACCGAACAGGTCTTGAACCAAGAGGAAAACTATCCAGTCTAAATTCACATGTAGCTAGCAAGGCCCTCAATATCTGTTTCATGCAGGGTTGCCTCGGGAGTTTTCTTCTCTTAGGGAGACTTCCTTGTCCAATCCCCTGCTCAAATGTACAGAGTTGCCTTCATCATTAGTCATCAGACAAGAATTACGTCAACAGTCCACAATGGGCAACTAGATGGTGCATAAACCCTTGGTGGATTCTACATTAAAATGTAGAATAGCCTATCCTGTTTATTTCTGCCTGTAGATTTGCAGCTTCCTCATCCAGCACGAACATCTTCCGATGCCCAAAGATGCTTTTCCCAAAAAGGCAACTAGATCAGTGGTGGGATTCGTATTTTTTTTTTACTACCGGTTCTGTGGGTGTCGCTTGGTGGACGTGGCAGGGGAAGGATACTGTAAAATCTCCAGTCAGAGGTGGGATTTGCCGGTTCTCCGATCTACTCAAAATTTCCGCTACCGGTTCTCCAGAACTGGTCAGAACCTGCTGAAGACCACCCCTGAACTGGACTTTCTTGTTTTGTTTGCTTGTTTGTTTTGTTTGAAAAGGTTTCGCTTTTCATCCAAGAAGCTTCATTTCAAGGAAGAAAAAAATAACTAAGCATTTCCAGTTGCATTTTGGAAAAACACCTTTGGGAGAACCTGGATTATGGAGAGGCTCTATAAGCAGTGGTGGGATGCTGCCAGTTTAACAACTGGTTTGGTGAGCTCATACTTTGCACACGTACGCGTGCTTTACATGTGCAGGTGCCTAAGGCACTTGCGCGCAGTGCTGAAAATGGGGCATTTAGAAGCTCAGCTGCTTACCTTCCAAGTCAGCAATGGTAGAACAGTGAGAGGGGGGGAAGAAATCAGCTGTGCCGCACGATTGAGATGAGCTACAAAGCAGGAAATAAAGGACAGGATAGGGCAGGATGGGTGGGTGGGGCCAGCTGATCATTAGAACAACCAGTTCGCATGAACCAGTCCGAACCGGCAGCATCAGACGTCTTCTGATAGCTGTTTCTCTCGTGGCTTCCCTGTAGGTGCTGGAACAGATGCCAACGTCTCCATGATTATTTGGGGAGAGAACGGGGACAGTGGGACCTTGGCTTTGAAGGAATCGAACAGATCCAACAAGTTTGAAAGGAACCAGCTAGATGTCTTCTATTTTCCTGACATCTTCAGTCTCGGCGATCTCTGCAAAGTGCGTATCTGGCACGACAACAAAGGTAAAATCCAGGGTTAGGGTTCATTTTAAGGGACAGCCTATGAAAGCCTCAAGTGTAGACCTCAGAACTTCTTTAAAAACAGAGCGGGGACATTAGACAGAGAGGACTACCCCGTTTCCCTGAAAATACTACCTCCCCTGAAAGTAGGTCCTAGTTTGATTTTTACATGTGTGCCCAATATAAACCCTACCTCCCCAAAATAAGTCCTAATTAAGAACCCGCCCACTCCAGAGTGCACAGGTAAAAATTTAGGTTGGGTGGGGGTGGAGGGTGGAGCTGCCCTACTACTTACCTTTGGACAGTTGTAGCCAGGCCTCACACACCTTGACACCTGTTGCGTTGCCAACCCATTTCTTCTGCAGCCAGCAAGGCTGGCAAGGCTTTCCTGAAGGCCTCTGTGGCTAACAACAAAGCTCCGGATCGATCCAGAGCTCTTTAATCAGCTGCTGAGGCCTTCAGGAAAGCTTTGCTAGTTGCAGAAGAAATTCCTGAAGGCCTCTGACAGCGAAAAGGAGGCCGGGGGAGATGAGCACAAGTGAGGTTAGTCAGTGGATGACATCCCCTGAAAATAAGACCTGGTGCCTGGTTTTGGTGGCAAAACAACATAAGACAGGGTCTTATTTTGGGGAAGTCAATTTACCTTTCTTCGATTAAAGGTAGTCCTCACCTTACAACCATTCATTTAGTGACCATTAAGTTACCACGGCATTGAAAAAGCAACTTGTGACCATTCTCACCCAGGGACACATAATCAAAATTCAGGTGCTTGGGAAGTGGTTCGTATTTATGACGGTTGTAGTGTCCCCCTGGTCATGTGATCGCCTTTTGCAAATTTCTCACAAAGTCAAAGGGGAAGCCAGATTCACTTAACCACAGTTTGCTAATTTAACAACAGCAGCGATTCACTTAACAATGATGGCAAGAAGTTCGTAAAATGGGGCAGGACTCACTTAACAACCTTCTGGCTTAGTTAATGGAAAATTTTGGCTCAGTTGTGGTCATAAGTCCAGGACTGTCTGTAATTCAATTTTATTTCTTTTCTTTTTTAAAAAAAATCCATTTTATTTTTGGCTGGAGCCCTGCCCACTTCATTGTCTTAGTGTAACACAAGTTCAGGATTATGCTCCATCCAAATACAAATGATTTTGTGGGTTTTTTTTTTAAAAAAAGCTTGTTTTCTCTAAAAGAAAGCACATGCAAATTTAAGCGGTAGCTAACCAATTCAGCGGTTTGAATCCCTAGCACCGTGTAATGGAGTGAGTTCCCATTGCTTGTCCCAGCTTCTGCCAACCTAACCATTCTAAAGCATGTAAAAATATGCAAGTAGGAATATAGGGACCCCTTTGGTGGGAAGGTAACAGCGTTCCATGCGCCTTACCGGCGTTTAATCATGTCGGCCACATGACCAGGGAGACATCTTCGGACAACACTGGTTCTTCTTTGGCTTTGTAACGGAGATGAGCAGAGCCCCCTAGAGCTGGAAACGACTAACACGTATGTGCGAGGGGAACTTTTACCTTTACCTTTTCACCAGAAAAAGCTAAAGGTCAAACACTTTGGCCACCCAATGGGAAGAGGGGACTCCTTGGAGAAGACCCTTGATGATGGGGTAGATGGAAGGCCAAAGGAGAAGAATGAGATGGCAGAGGATGAGATGGTTAGCTGGGGTCATTGATGTAACGAACATGAATTTGGGCAGATTCCAGGAGGCAGTCAAAGACAGAGAGCCTGGCCTACTGTGGTCCATGGGGTTGTGAAGAATCAGACACGAACTTAGTGACTCAACCACAACTACCAGAGTGTCCCCAATGGTGCTTTTTGAAGAAGCAACCGGACTTTCTGGTTTTTCTTTGAAGACGTTTCGCTTCTCATCCGAGAAGCTTCTTCAACTCTGATTGGATGGTGGGGAAGGGAAGGATGGATACTCCTTGCAGACCGTTGGTCATTTGTATTCTTTTTAGAGAGTCGTTGAGGCCACTCGTAGGTTTGCCTGTGTCCTCAGTGGTGCCAATGGGTGTGCAGCCTTCATGGAACTGCTGAGAGGATTGCGTGGTAGACAAGATATTGATGATGTTGTAACCCGCGCTCACACACACACACACACACAGAGGAGTTCCCATGTGGCCCGTTTTGAATGCAGGAAAGTGCAGGGTGTGTGCGGAGGCTCAGGGAGGGCGAAAACGGGACTCCCGGAAGTTTGGGAAGGCCAGAAATGGTTCTGTTTCCGGCTTCCAGAGAGTCTCCGGAGCCCATGGAGGCTGTTTTTCCCCTCCCAGAGGCTCGAGACAAAACCTCCGGAGCCCAAGGAGGGCAAAAACGCCCCTCCCCCGTGCCACGATGCAGGAGTCCAACTAGGCCACGCCCACCATGGCCATGTCCACACAGCAACCGGGCAGAGAACCCTTGGCTAAAATTTTTGAAGCCCACCTCTGAGACTAACTATACCGAATTCCTGCAACTGTTCTTCATATGTTTTAGTCTCCGTGGCCTTAATTTCATAGGACTTCATTTTTTTTAGGGCCCCGGCTGTTTCTATTTTTCTTTTTTTTTTTTTAACCTGATCTAGTTTTACTGGCACCCAGAGTGGGACACAGTAGGAAATTTTGGTTTTTTAAAAAAAGGAAGTTGTCCTTCTTGTACTTTGCCAATTATGTTTCCGTCGGAGCCTAAAATTGTACTTCCTTTTTTTTTCCCCAGCTACACCATATGGCTCTTTAAAAAAAAAAAAAACCTGTAAATAATTCAGCCTCTTTTTTCACAAGTATTTTTACCCAGCCAGAAATCCTTTCACTCGATAAGTATGCATTTGTTGTCCTTTTCTAAAAGGAAGAATTTTTGCATTTGTCTCTGGTAAATTTAATCCTGTTATTATTGTCCCTTCTGTTCTCTGTTGATGGATTTCAGTATTCCAAGGCATTTGCTGTCACTCCCAAATTTTGGGCCATCGACAGATTTGATGAGCGTGTCCTCCACCTTCTCATTCACTTCCTTAATCAAGAGATTAAAAAGTTCACCGTCCAGAACAGATGGTCTGAGGCCCTTCACTCGATGAGCAAACCCCAAGTATAATAATTAAGCTAGTTACCTAGCACTTAATTGCCATGCATGCAGGCCTCACAAACGTTGCTGTCAGCCCAAAATCTGTCTATGCGTTAACTATGATTCCTACTTTTGCTCCACCTTAAACCTCATTATAACAGAACCAGAGGATGGGATTCTACCGGTTCAGACTGGTTCAAGCGAACCGGATGTTAAAGTTACATCCGGTTTGCTGAACCGGTATTTCAACTGACTTTTGAATCCCCACCCCTGAACAGAATAGCAGAGTAGGAAGGGACCTCGGAGGTCTTCTAGTCTGACCCCCCTGCTCAAGCAGGAAACTCTAAACCATTTCAGACAAATGCTTGTTCAATCTCTTCTTGAAAACCTCCGAGGATGGAGCAGAGATTGGACAGCCATCTGCCTGAAATGGTATCGGATCGCGTGCTTGAGCAGGGGGTTGGACTAGAAGACCTCTAAGGTCCCTTCCAACTCCATTAGTCTGTTATTCGGTGAGTTTCTTAGATGAATTCAGTTTCTTAGATAAGGTAGATGCCCTCTGGATTATTAAAGCACCCAGAACAGAGGTGGTCTTCGGCAGTTTCTGACCAGTTCTGGAGAACCAATAGCGGAAATTTTGAGTAGTCCAGAGAACCGGCAAATCCCACCTCTGACTGGAGATTTGACAGTATCCTTCCCCTGCCACGCCCACCAAGCCACGCCCACAGAACCGGTAGTAAAACATTTTTGAATCCCACCACTGACCCGGAAGCATCCGTAAATCACATCAAAATATCAAAAGCAGCATTTCAGCCTTGCAATCCAGACAGCTCATCCTTTGCACAACTGTGCGACATCTGGATGTGCCTGCAAAAGTGACGGAAGTTGGCATGATGCAACTTCATTATTTCTCCCCCTGCCCCATATGGAAGTCCCTGTAGGGCCACACAACTTCTCAACTTCCAAAAGGTGCCTTTGAGATGAAGGATAACAGAATATCAAGAGTTGGAAGAGTTGGAAGGCAGAAATGTTTAGGCTCAAATATGATTTTTTTTCAAACCCCCTTGTGATCATTAATTCAAGGACTGCTGTTAGTATTAATCAAGTTACTTCATCTTCCAGAGGAACAATATTCTTTTTTTAAAAAAAACCTTTATTGTACTTTTTCCTTTTTACAAAACTCACTCATCTTTAACAGTACATATAGTTCTTCTTAATGATGAATCATAATAAATACAAGTAATAATAAGTACAAGTAAGCAAATTAACAAAATGCTATAAATATTCTACTGTCTGTGGTCTTACTATGTTTTGATGTTGATATATTTTAATGTATATATAAATGTGTATACAATTCTAATTCTCATTATCTCCTATGTAAATATATATCCATAAATATATAAACAAATACAGTATAAATATCTACAAATATAAGTATAAACATATCCAGCCTATTTTCAAAGACTTTAAGTGCAAGTATGTTAAATGAATCTTACTGTTATTCATATTTCAAATTTCCATATATTACTAATTGTTCATATACATTTCTATGTCTTCCTCTAATCTCTACAATTCTTTTTTTTTTTTGAACATATTTTATTGATTTTCCAAAACAATACACAGACAAACAAAACATAAAATATAATGACATAGGAATTTTTTTTTCTTAAAAAGCCAATACAACAACTTATTTAAAGACAGAATTATTCCAAGTTATCACATTTCCAAACAAGCACAATTTGATATATATATTTACCTTATCTGTTCATCTTCATATCTTATCCCAAACTTCTCTTTATTACTTCTTTTCCTTCTATTTATTCAAATTATATCTCTTTAACTTTAGATTGTATACATTTTTTATATCCATCTGTCTTATACATTTTCATTATTCTCTTTCAATTAAAAAAAAAAACCAAGACATAAAACATAAAAACATAAACATCTTTTCTGAAAGTTGCTTGATCCCGGGTTAAAACTCATCATACAGACACCTCTTCAAAAATCATGTTCTAATCTCTACAATTCTTGTTTCAATTATCCAATAAGATTCTTCTGTTCTCACAGGAATCGCGCCAGGCTGGCATCTGGAATATATTGACATTGAAGACTCTCTTATGGACAAAATTTTCCGCTTCCAGGGTGACCGTTGGCTCGCAAAAGATGAAGACGATGGCCAGATTATACGGGAACTGGCTTGTGCCAATAATGACATTTTGGAATTGAAAGAACGTACCTGTAAGTTGAACAGCAGGCAAGAAAAACCAACAGCACAGGTATAGGATAGGTGGCTCAATAGTCGTAGTTGTGAGAGGGATCTTGGAGTCCAAGTGACAATCATTTAAGTAGGAGCCAGCCGTGTGCTGCAGCTGCCATAAAAGCCAACACAGTTCTAGGCTGCATAAAGAGAGGGATAGAATCAAGATCACGTGAAATGTTAATATCACTTTATAATGTCTTGGTAAGGCCTCACTTGGAATACTGCATCCAGTCTTGGTCGCCATGATGTAAAAAGATATTAAGAGTCTAGAAAGTATGCAGAGAAGAGCAACAAAGGTGAATTAGGGGACCGGAGGCTAAAACATATGAACAATGGTTGTGGGAACTGAGTATGTCTAGTTTAATGAAAAGAAAGACTAGGGGAGACATGATAGCAGTGTTCCAATTATTGCCACAAAGAAAGGGAGTCAACCTATTCTCCAAAGCCCTTGAACGTAGGACAAGAAACAATGGATGGAAGCTAATCAAGGAGAGAAGCAACCTAAAACTAAGGAGAATTTTCCTGACGGTTAGAAAATTAATCAGTGGAATGAGCGATTAGACAGCCATTGTCTGAAATTTATTTTATTTTATTTATTTATTTGATTTGTCAATCACTTACAAGATAATAGGTATAAGTATAAACATGAGTAAGAATACAGGAAATAGGTACGAGTAAATGGGGACAATAGGATAGGGACGGTAGGCACAATTGTGCACTTATGCACGCCCCTTGCAGACCTCTTAGGAATGGGGTGAGGTCAATAGTGGATAGTTTGAGGTTAAAGGAGTGGGGGTTAGAGGATGTATCAACAGAGTCAGGTAGTGCATTCCAGGCATTGACCACTCTGTTGCTGAAGTCGTACTTTCTGCAATCAAGTTTGGAGCGGTTTACATTGAGTTTGTATCTAACTGTGTGCTCTTGTATTGTTGTGGTTGAAGCTGAAGTAGTCATTGATTGGTAGGACATTGTAGCAGATAATTTTGCGTACTATGCTTAAGCCCAACAGTCGGTGGCATAGTTCAAGGTTGTCCAAGCCCAACATTTCAAGCCTGGTGATATAAGGTATTCTGTTGCAAGCAGAGGAGTGTAGTACTCTTCTCATGAAATACTTATGGACTCGCTCAATTGTATTAATGTCCGATATACAGTGTGGATTCCAGACAGATGAGCTGTATTTGAGTATTGGTCTAACAAAGGTTTTGTATGCCCTGGTTAGCAATTCAATATTTCTGAAGTTTTGTAAGATTAGATTTACAACTCTTAATGCCTTTTTGGCAGTGCTTTTACGGTGAGCTCTGGCACTTAGGTTGTTTGATATGAGTACTCCAAGGTCCTTGACAGAGTGAGGGTCGTCAACGAAGTCATATCTGCCTAGCTTGTATTTGGTGTACTGATTTTTTTTACCAATGTGTAGGACAGAGCATTTGTTGGTTAAGATTTGGAGTTGCCAGATGTTGGACCATTCAGACACATAATCAAGGTCACTTTGAAGGACAGTAGCATTGTTGGTGGTGTTGAATAGTTTTACATCATCCATGAAGAGGACACAATTGCTTATAAGGTGATCACAAAGGTCATTTATATAGAGTATAAAGAGTATGGGTCCTAGAATGCTGCCTTGGGGGACACCGTTATTAACTGGAGCAGGGTTTGATATAGCGCTCCCTATTTTTACTATCTGTTGCCTGTTTGACAGGAATGCAGTTATCCACTTATGAAGGGATCCGGAAATGCTGTAAGAGTTTAGTTTTAACAGTAGTTTGTCAAGTACCACTGAATCAAAGGCTTTGCCTATGTAAATTGTATCTATAGCTTTAAACTGGTCAAGTAGAGTAGTCCATATGTTTTCCAATGTAGGAGTTGTAGATTGCAGGACAATTTTTTCCTGAAACCAAATTGTATTTTTGGAAAGTAGTCTGTTTGACTCTAAGTGGAGGGTGTGGATTTGTTAATGATTGATTCCATGACTTTGCTCATGATGCAACACAGAGAGATTGGTCTGTAGTTTTCAACTAGGCTGGGGTCACCTTTTTTGAAGATAGGGATGACCATAGCTAAGGACCATAGGTTTGGTAAGGAACTGGTTCTGAATGATATCTCATATATTCTGCTAGGGCAGAGGAGAGCTTTTTAAAGAAGTACGCACATAATCCATTGGGGCCAATAGATAGGGATGGTTTTAGATTACGTAATGCCTTTTCTACATTATCTTCTGTAAAGTCAATATGTAGTAGATTGTTACAGGTAGTGTTAGTGTATAGTGTATAGAATGGTGTAATGCCTGAGCAGGGGGTTGGACTAGAAGACCTCCAAGGTGCCTTCCAACTCTGTTATTCTGGGAGGAATGAGATGAAATGTCACTGGAAAAAGACCTTTTCAGCTTATAGCATTTTTGTTAGCCACCTCCTCAAATGTTGAAGTTCTGAGGCCATATTCCTGTCACTTCCGTGAGCAGACATGCTGGGTGGAAATGGGATAAATGAGACCGTGACACTGTGTTTCCTTGTCAGAAATGTCTTCTGGACATCGGGGCTAAACAAAAACTGAAAAAGAGCATTTTTTCTGTGCATGGTTGGGTAAGCTAATCTTATGAAAGCCCTGAGAGAGAAAAAACAATACAGTTGTCTTAATCTTACTTTTAGAGATTTAGAGAAAGCAGCTGAATAAACCTCACAAAATCAATAGATTCATTCAACGCTATGTGTTTTTAAGTTCTAAAATATATTCCTGGAGATCAAACATTCAGATGTTCGTCCAAGAGTTTCCTCCATGAATGTTATCGTTTGGCTAAATGAAGGAGAGCCGAGCTGCTGAATTCGAGATTTTAACTCTCAATCCTGCGTCAGGGAAGCACTTCCGTAATAAACAGGAAATCGCAGGGGGAGGAAGTTAAGAAGCTGTCATAAGTGGAGAGTAACTACTGAGGTTACTCTTAGACGCACAGATTGGTAGAATGGTTCTTCTGGTTTCTCGCTTTTCTTGGAGATCATAGTATCAGAGGGCTGAGTGAGAGGGACCTTGGAGGCAGTGGTGGGGACGCAACTAATTTAACAAGCAGTTCGTCCTAAAGACTGGGTGGGTGTGGCTGGGAGGGTGTCATGTGAGTGAGTGGGTGTGGCCCACTCAATGTCAGTCACAGCAAGTTGGGGCTGCGCACGTAGCCTGAAGCCACCGGCCAAGGCAGGTGAGGGAACATGGGTTCGGGTGGGGTAGGGTGGGGTAGGGTGGGGTGGGCGGGGCCAGCCAGTGGTGGGATTTGCCAGTTCATCGAACTGTGCAGAATCTTAACAACCGGTTCTCCCGAACCGGTCCGAACCAGCTGAAGGCCACCTCTGCTTGGAGACCCCTGAGTCCAACCCTCTGGGGACATGAAGGATCAAAATTGGGACTCTCGTGTACCAAGCATAATGCAGAATAACAGAGTTGCAAAGGATCTTGGAAGACTTTAAGTAATCCCCTGCTCAAACAGGAGACCCTATACTAAGGGTCTTCAAACTTGGCAAGTTTAAGGCTTGTGGACTTCGACTCCCAGAATTCCTGAGCTAACATGACTGGAGGAGGAATTCTGGGAGTTGAAGTCCACAGAGTCTTAAAGTTGTCAAGTCTGAAGACCCCTGCCCTATACCATTTCAGACAAATGACCGTCCAATCTATGTTAGAATTAGAATAACAGAATTGGAAGGGACCTTGGAAGTCTTTTAATCCAACCCCCTGCTTAGGCAGGAAACCACATACCATTTCAGACAAATGGTTGTCCAATCTCTTCTTAAAACCTTCAGTGTTCGAACGACCGTAACTTCTGGAGGCAGGTTGTTCCACCGGTTTATTGTTCTCGCTGTCAGGAAATTTCTCCTTAGTTCTAGGTTGCCTCTCTCCTTGATTTGTTTCCATCCATTGTTTCTTGTCTTGCCTTCAGTTGCTTTGGAGAAGAGGTTGACCCCCACTTCTTGATGGCAACCCCTGTGATATAGGGGTGCTATCATGTCACCCCCTAGTCCTTCTTTTTATTAAACTAGATATACCCAATTCTCTTCTTAAAAGCCTCAAGATGCTCCTGAACTATGAGCCGTGGAGTGGGAAGTGCTAAATTGGGAGCCTTAATTTGGTGTTTTCTCTGAACTTTCAAGCTTATGAGATTCTCACGATTACCAGCAATAAGGAAGATGCAGAAACCAAGGAAAACGTATCCCTTATTTTTGAAGGCAAGAGAGGCCGTTCCAAGGAGTTCCTTCTGGAGAACTCCTCCAGAAAGAGAAGGTTTTTAAGGTATGTTATTACAGTACCATAATTATAATGACCTGAACTCTTCATTCATTATAAAATTGAATAATTATAATCAGCAAACTTTGGGCTGATTAAAAGATTGCCCTGAATGAATGCATTGTTCAGCAGGCTGTATTGCTCACTTTAAAAATAAGCAGTGTATGTGTATGTGTCTGTATGTATGTATGTGTATGTACGTATGTGTGTGTGTGTATGTATATATCTATCTATCTATCTCTATCTCTATCTATCTATCTATCTATCTATCTATCTATCTATCTATCTATTTATCTATCTCTATCTATCTATCTATCTATGCAGGTCTTGGTGTGTTCGACCCAAACACGCCAAGACCTGCATACCATGAAAATCTACGAAAATAGATAGATAGATAGATAGATAGATAGATAGATAGATAGATATAGATATAGATAGATATGTAGATATAGATATAGATATAGATAGATAAATATATAGATACAGATACAGATATAGATAGATAGATAGATATGTAGATAAAGAGATAGAGATATATAGATATAGATATAGATATAGATATAGATATAGATATAGATTTGGCGGTTCAAATCCTTAGCGCTGCATAACTGAGGGAGCTCCCGTTACTTGTCCCAGCTTCTACCACCTAGCAGTTTGAAAGCTTGTAAAAAATGCATGTAGAAAAATAGGGACCACTGGTGGGAAGGTAACAACGTTCCGTGTGTCTCCGGCGTTTGGTCATGCCGGCCACATGTCCACAGAGATGTCTTAGGACTCTTCAGCTTTGTAATGGAAATGAACACTGCCCCCTAGAGCCAGAAACGACTAGCACGTATGTGCAAGGGGAACCTTTACCTTTACCTATATCCTTATAAGATTCATTCATTATTGGCCACATTTAGGGAATGCCTTTCCCAAACAGATGTATCTTAGTTCTCTAATCTCCAAATATATATATATTCCTTTCTTTTTCCTTTAAAAAAATTAGATGTTTATATGTGCAGCGTGATATATGTTCATTTATTGATTGAAGTGTTTCTCATAAGTGTTCAGAAAACCTAAATTATCTCGGTGACCTGTGCATTGAGAAATGTTGGCTTGCTGGTGGAACACATTATATTTATGCCTTTTAACAAGAAATAAGTCAGGAAACCTTTCAGACAAATTGAAAATACGGTTTTCATCTATAAATTAATATTATATGTGGGTAAGTCCTTCCTGGAACATTCTAGGAATGATTTAAAGATATATGGTTATATAAATTTGTGCTGAACAGTTTGTAAGCTTTTAAAATATTTATTTATTTATATAAATAACTCAGGGCAGCATACAGACCATCTTCCACATATTTTCCCCAAAACAATAACTCTGTGAGGTGGTCGAGTTGAGAGAGAGAGACAGAGAGGGAGAGAGAGAGAGAGAGAGAGAGAGAGAGAGAGAGAGAGATTGGCCCAAAGCAAGCTTTCATGCCTCAGTTGGGACTAGAACTCATCATCTCCTAGTGATTTCCCCAAAGTCACCCAACTGGCTTTGAAAGCTAAGGTGGGACTAGATCTTACAGTCTTCTACATTAGCCCAGTCACTCAGCTGTCTTTTATGCCTAAGATGGGACTAGAACTCATACTCTCCTGGTGATTGGCCCAAAGTCACCCAACTAGCTATCATGCCTAAAGCAGGAGTAGAACTCACAGTGGTTTCTAGCCAGGTGCTTTAACCACTAGTCAAAACTGGCTCTATCGTATGTTGCATTATTATTGCAAACCATGTCTGTTAATTTACATCTTTCTCATTAGCCATTGTTGGTCTGCTCATTAACAATTAAAGCATTATGTATATGTGTGTGTGGCGGTGGGGGCAATCCGCAGAGGAGCCTCGGATGCATTCCAGTTTTCTTCAAAAAACGTTGGTGATATCGCCGCCATCTGTGTTGGTCACTGTCCAAAAGATGGGAAGAGACTGAAGGCGAAACCAGACGTATATTGGCACGTTCAGGAAATTGTCATCACAGAAATGGAGCTTGGCAACAAGTAAGTGTCTCCTAATGAAAAGAAGCATGAACGACACGGACAATCAGCCACGGTTTGTAATGTTGCATTGTGGCACTCAAAGGTTTAGGGTCCCAACTGCTGCACAGGTAGTCCTCGACTTACACCAATGCACTTAGTGACTATGTAAAAGTTACAAAAGAGCGAACTTACGACTGTGTTTTTTTTCCACACGTAAGACCATTGCCGCATCCCCGTGGTCAAAATTTGGCCACTTGGCAACTGTCTCACATTTATGACCATTGTAGTGGCCCGGGGTCATGTGATTCCTTTTGGTGACCTTCGGGCAAATCAACGGGGAAGCCAGATTCACTTAACAACAGTGTTACTAACTGAACAACTGCAGAGGTTCACTTAACAACTGTGGCAAGAAAGGTGGTAAAATGGAGCAGAATTCACTTAGCAGCTGTCCTGCTTAGCAGCAGAAATTTTGGGCTCAGTTGCAGTTGTAAATTGAAGAGTCCCTCTAGATCTCTCCGATTTGATTTAGAGAGGAGATGAAGACAAAGTAGTGAAGACTGAAAACTGGCTTCCTGAGGGGAATGGGACAACTGACGACAGCCAACTTGTTGTAGCCAACTCCC